TCCGGCGGCGGTGGTCGAGGAGGTGAGGAATCTCCTTTTCCCTTTCTCCTCTTCTTCTTCTCTCTCTTCACTTGAGTCCCCTTTGTGTAGAATGAGGGCTCTATTTATAGTTTTTCTGGAGTGGCATAGCCCATAAATAGGCGTGAGATCAGGGGTGAATGGGGAGTGTTTTGAATGGACGGCCGATATCGAATCCTTTGATCATGCACCGTTCATTGGGCATTTGAAGACCTTAATGATGTCGGAATTCGGCGATCTTGGGCTCGTTAGATTCATCTCGTCGAGCCGTTCGATTCGAGTATAAGCTCGTCAAAATCGAAGACCATTTGGTAACTCAAATTGTGGTTTGATCCTTCCAACAGCGCTTTGAGCCCTTGATTCGGACTCATTTGGGCTCGGATTGGGTTGATCTTGGTGTCGTTGGGCTCATATTTCCGAGACGCTCAGTTTGACTATAAGCTCGCTAAAATCGGAGTTCAGGTGCTCCCGAATTTAATTTTTGAAGTTTCCGGCTAGCTTTTTGCCTCGAGATTCGTGCCCGATCAATATAATTTTTGCATGACGTATCAATAATAATATGTGTGTGTGAAACAAACAAATAAAGACTAGTTGACCGGTTAGTTGGAGACTGATTGATCTGTACAAGATGATGGGTCTACGAGCTATCCTTTAAATACTGTGATTTGATGGTATCCTCTACTAATTCAAGTGATACATTGATTGAGAGTTATAAAGAAATCATTACTATGCCAATAAAAAAAGAGTGACGACTCTATTTACTGAGCCAACAATTTACTAACACTGATACTAATACTTAAAAACACCGTGATATATAGTACTTATATTTGTTTAGTGTGACTACTGAAATGCATGTTCTTGAGACATTATTTTTATTATTGTATGGATTTATTGTTACTACACGGATTTACTGTTATTGTTTTATTATACTACCCCTGCCATTGGATTGCTATTGTTACTGATTTAAATACTAATACTATTGATTCACTGTACTAATATTAAGCATGTGATATTCCTATATGATTTTTATTACATATATTTGATTTCGACAGTCTTTATTGATATTTTGATTTAATATTTTGTATGATTTCTACTGATTGATATTACGGATACAACGATTGTTTTATAGATTTGACACTAGTACTGATTTACTACTTTACAGACTTCAATACAGTAGTATTTTATTATTTATAGATTTTACTATCACTATATTTGAGATTTTTTATTTCTACACTGATTCAATGATTATATGAATGTAATTTTTATGATTTGACTATTGACAAGCATTTTGCTCATTTATCGTGCTTTGAATTTAGTTATAAGTTTTGGTGACATGCTGAGCTTTTTAAGCTCATTATATATGACTAAATGAATTCAGGTCACGACAGGGGAGGAGTGTGAGGCTAGTTAGGATTCTTCAAGTTTTGCTTCTTTTTGTTATAGTCCTGAGTAGTGTATATAATTTTTTAGAATAAATACATATGTGTACATTGATGTTTTGAATTATAGAATCTTTTTTTTGTGTTTATTACTAATAAATTATATTAGATAACTCTGGTTGTTGTTTATTAAAAAAATAAATGAATAATTTTTTAAATTTAGATTCTACGGCATCACAACATATTATTGGGTTGTCAAAATTGGGTCACGGGTCAGATTCGGGTCCAACTTAGAACTAATCAGGCACTATTCAACCCAACCCGTTTTTTACAAACGGGTTGATTTTTTTGACCCAAACCCGACCTGCTTCGGGTATGTTTTGCTTTAAATTGTTTTAATTTGATTTATTTAAATCTAAATCAAATTAAGGTAAGATTTACTTCAATCAATCTAAGAAAAACAAAGCTTAATTCAGTTTGGGCAAGATGGTTTATTATTTTTAAGAAATAGCATTTACTTATTTCATAACAATCTTTTAAAACATTCCTAAATTAATTAAAGACGGGTCAAACTCGGTTGATTTCAGGTTTCCGAGTTAGTCGGAATCAGACCAAGTTTTATAAACGGGTCGAAATTCCTAATCCGAATCCATCCTGATTCTAGTTTGAGTTGACCAGAACTTTTGGATTGGATTTTCAGATCGTGTCAAATATTAACACCCCTTTATATATATATATCCATTTACAAATAGCAGTAGAGATGAGCTGAGCCTTTGTTGAATTTTTATTTTTTTATAACCCCA